TGTATTTATTATTTGTTGAGAAACATTTAATGGTATTCTTGTTGCCTCCTTTTTATATCACCGGTTGATCATTTTTTCCATCATTGTTATCTGCTTCCTATTATTTTTGTACGCTATATTGCACAGGTTTATTTGGTAGTCTGGTCCTGGCCTTGTCACTACTTCGTCGAGGTTAGGCTAGACACTTACCAGCACATGAGGTCGGTTGTGCTGATACTACACTCTGCACTCTTTTGTGCAGATCCCAGTGCTGTAGACTTCGGACCGCAGTGAGATTGTTGTTTCTTGTTCATCAGGCGATCCGAGGTAGTCCTGCAGGCGTCCGCAGGTCTTGACGTCTCCCTCTATCTACTATTCCTGTTTCTTTCATGTATTTCCAGAGACAGTGTTGTGTTTATTCTTTCAGACCTTTATTTGTAGTAGTCCTAGATAGTCTGTGAAGTTGTGACACCAGTCTTGGGTAGATTTGTTATGGATTGGTATTAGCAGTATTATTAAAACTTTACAATGCAGCCTTCCGCTTATTCAATTCTGTTATTATCTAATTGTTGGCTCTTAACTGTTATCGGATTAAAAATGGAAACAAGGTAGATAGTTCAGTTGGTTGGCTTGCCTAGCTTTCACTAGTAGGTGCCACCACGACTCCCGAGGGTGGGAAATCCGGGTCGTGACATGTACTCTTAAAGGTAAGACAAAGGACAAACCCGAAGGCTAGAATGGACTTACAAGAATATTGCAGGTGACCTGAATTATACTTGCAGACAACAAACAATGGTAAGATATTCAAGCCCAAAGCAAGTTACACATTCACTTTGGAGTAAAGATGGCAAATTTGTGATTGGGTAACAAAATTGAAGATGCCTGAGGGTTATGTGTCGAATCTTGGGGAAAAAGTTGATATGGAGGTAGGGAAGTTGAGTCATTTGAAAAGTCATGACTGTCATGTTTTTATGGAGACCTTAGTGCCTATTGCATTTTGTGGTTTGCCTGAAAGAATCAGAAAACCCATCACAGAAATTAGTTTGTTTTTCAAAGACTTGTGTTCTTCCATATTAAGGGAAGAAAACCTACTCCAGATGGATCAGAACATTCGTGTAACTTCTGGTAAGATGAAAAAGATACTTTCATGTGGGTTTTTTGATGTGATGGAACACCTTCCAATCCACCTTGTACACGAGGCACGACTTGGAGGGCCTGTTCAATGCAGATGGATGTATTCCTTTGAGAGGTAATATTATAAGTTTGATGTAATTTTCTGTTTTATTTGATTGTTTTTGGCTAACCTGAAATTATGTAGGACAATTGGCAAATGCAAACAATTTGTTAAACAGAGGAATAGGATTGAAGGATCTATATGCAAAGCTTATCTTGCAAAGGAAACTGCTCATTTTTGTTCTTATTATTTTGAGAATAATGTGCCATTTGCTTAATTTATTTTAATTTTCAAAGTATATCTATTCTATTTATTAACTAAAATTTATGAGTTTTCAGGAAAAGAAGTTGGGGCGTCTGATGAACCAAGATGAGCTATTCCAGGAGACTCATATTGTAAAGAAGAAGAAAGAGACGAATCAAGAAAGGTGGGTCGAGGGACGAGCCTCGACTGTACATGTAAGTTCTCACTTTTCATTAAGTATTTTGATTTACTTTTATATAAATTTTGAAATACTAATTCAATGTAATTTTTCTTATGGGGTCGCTTCACAGTTGAAGTGGATGAATTCATACACAGTCAGCCACCTAATGAGTCGGGCGAGCCAATCCAACCTTCGGACGAGGATGCTGAAAGAATGTGGACGGAGGCTGCAGGCGGTCCAAAATAGGGGAAGGTATACGGGCTTCCTACTAAGAAATTTCATCGCTATAAGTGTGGAATGCAAGGAATAGGGACTTCCTCGCAAGCCGAGCAACTTGATGGGGAGAGCCTCTCCGCTATGCGGGAGACTGTAACAAAGCTCACATCCGAGCTAGAAGCGGCCAAAGAAAGAGAAAAGCTTAGAGATGCTCAGTACATTGGCATGCAAGCTCAGTACCAGGGCATGCAAGAGCAGCTCAAATCTCACCTAGCTTCTGGAGGCTTTCCGATTCCCCGGTCTTGTGATTCATCGCCAGAGGCTCGCCTTCCCCGTACTCGTTCCTCCCGTCCTCCAAGTGCTCGTTCCTCCCGTCCTCCCCGTGATCGTTCTTCCCGTCCTCGACAAGTAGACCCTTCTGGATACCTTCATGGTGATGAAAATTCATCAGACAGTGATAATAATGATGTACAAAACACTCATTGACTTTTATACACTTTGAACTAGACAAATAGAATCGGTTTTCGAATGAGCTTGTAATAAGAGTTAACTTAGTTTGGTTAGCTTAATGTGGTAGTTCTATTGAACTTTCAACTTTGTTGGTTTTAATGTTGTTTTTGTGTTGTTGTTGTTGTTGTTGTGTTGTTGTTGTTGTGTTGTTGTTGGTATTGTTGTTGTTGTTGCTTCTAATAGTGATTTGGTGTGCTGGCAGGTAGTGTAGCTGCCAAAACAGGCAGTTTCTGCCAAAATAATACCCAGAAAAGCGACCAACTTTGGTCGCTTTTCTATTAAAAAAATTATTTTCTGGGAAATAGCGACCAAAGTTGGTCGCTAATTAACCCAGATTTCTTAAAAAGCGACCAACTTTGGTCGTTATTCCATTAAAAAAAATAATTTCTGGAAATATAGCGACCAATTTTGGTCGTTTATATTTAAAATATAATTAAATTCTTGAAATTAGCGACCAATTTTGGTTGCTTATTTTTTAAAAAAATTAATAAAAAAGCAACCAACTTTGGTGTCTATTTTTCAGATTTTAAAATATAATATTTGGTTTAGAGACCAAAATTGGTCGCTATATTTTGATTAATAATAAATTAAAAAAATAGAATTTACATGTAGAGACCAACTTTGGTCGCTAAAATTATATTATTAAAATATTAAATTGACCAAAGTTGGTCGGTATATTCTTTACCCGGAATATTTGGTCCTTTTACCTTAGAGACCAAAGTTGGTCGCTAATTAACGACCAACTTTGGTCCCTAAGATAAAGGGACCAGCAATATAGCGACCAGGCCTGTTTGAACGCTTTTTGGTCGCTTTTTGACCTATAAGCGACCAACCTTGGTCGCTTTTTGTGGTCCCTTTTTACCGGATTNTCAATAAGATCATTTACATCTCTTTTATCTTATACACGATCCATGCTATTAGCTCTTTGATCCGGGATTAATTATATTTTTTAAAATTTACCTCTTTATCTTCTTTGATTGATTTGTTCAAAAAGATTTCGATATCTTTTGAGTCAAACAACAGTTTGAGTTAATAATCAACCTCAAGGGCAAAGCGAGACTCCAAATATATGACACTTTGGATTATAGGGAAACCAATAACCACAAAGAGCAGGATGTCAGAGAAACATGTCATTCGCGACAATATATATGGGCATCACCCGCGGGCATATGATTTAAAAGCTTCCTCTAGCCAAATGATGTACTTGTACAAATCGAACCAACAGTCACCTAATATAAATAAATTACAGGGGAATTTGATCTCCTCTGTTTCTTGCTAATGTTAGATAAACAAACTTAAAGTATTATATCGAACAATTATATTGGCAACAGGAGCTAAGGCAACGAGTTGTTCATATAGCAAATCTTTTGGTGAGAAGGAGGGCCACGTTCAGAAGAATTTTGAATCGATCCAAAAGAGAAAGACTCGTGTCAAGGCATAGTAAGAGGAATTTTCTCTTTACAGCTTGTTATACAATACAATACTATACGACACAATATGAAATGATACATAACAAACAAGCTGTTAGTTCATTCCGGGCGAAAGTCTACTCCTTCAACTAACAGGCCACCTATCCCAGGACGACGCCTTAGAGAGGGAACGTAAAAAAAAATTGAATCTAATAATTAGGATGTCAAATGAATTGATTTATTCGAAAAAGAGTGAAACCGTGCAATACCAGACATCTTTTACATGGAAAGACATAGTATAGTAAGAGGTTCTTTTCTCCGTCATTCCCTCTATTCCTTGAATTAAGAGGCCACTTGTCTCAAAACGACGTTGAATCTCCATTAATCGCATTTCAACATCTCTATCCTCTCTGCTACCGTTGAAAAAGTTGCCCATTTTTATTTCTGTCCATCCGTCAACTCTTCTTTGAGCATTGCAACCTTCGGGCAGTGACAGAAGATACTCCATGGGTAAAATTCACTTGATTAGTGTTGATGATTTAATTTGGACTGTTTATATAGAAAAAAGTAGACAAGAGAGGTTGCTCTGATGGTAAGCAATCTCCACTTTCAACTAAGAGGTTGTGAGTTCGAGTCTCCCTAAGAGCAAGGTGGGAAGTTCTTGGAGGGAAGGATGCCGGGGGTCTATTTGGAAATTATACTGGGTTGTTGTTGTTGTTGTTTATATAGAAAACAAATGGAAGATTTTAAATTATGAAAACTTTTTTCAGAGTGTTTACACCTGTTTTGTTTGTTAGTTTGTGGTTAAGAATTGTTATTGATTCGAATATATATATAGGATACTTGATGACAAAACCAGTGTCTTTCTCAGAATGTATTAATGGGACAGCTAAGTAAACCAAAGTCTTTTTTAAAAAACTACCCCAAAACAAGAGTTGGAGGTGATATAAGCAGAATTTCCCCTTGGTTTTCACTTCCATGCTTAGTCATCCTATCTGCAACTTGGTTTTCTTCTCAGAAAGTGCGAATTATGTATAATTCAGATAATAATATTGTCATTACATTTATGTAGTGCTTTTAATTCTTTTTTATGGTCTAGCGTAAATGAAACTTATTGACTCGACACTAATTCAGATTTGCACCATGTAGGGCCCATTCAGAAAAGAAGGGGCTCCTACCAAGAATTTTTTCTTTTTCGGGACCGAACCCAAGAACTTAAGTTAAGGGTGGAGAGATTTCATCATCCCACCAAGGACAACGACTTGCCATAAAACTTCTAGCCAAATGATATACGTGAACAAATTGTACAAACTTGGAGTATTAAATTGAACAATTATATTCGCAGCAGGCACTAGAATTGCGTTTTTCATATAGCAAATCTTTGGTGAGAAGGGCCATATTCAGAAGAATTTAAATCTATAGAAAACAGAGAGATTCTCGTGTTCATTCTGGTCGAAACTCTATTCCTTGAACTAAGAGGCCACCTCTACCATAACGACGCCTGATCTCCATTAATCGCACTTCAACATCTCTATCCTCTCCGCTGTCATTGAAAAACTTCCCCATTTCTATTTCCATCCATTCATCAACTCTTCTTTGAGCTTTAACTTAGCCAATTCTCCTGACTTTTCGTCGTTCCTCAGCTTCATTGTCACTCTCACAACTGACAAATTTAACAACTGACTGACCAATTTCAAGACCGTCAAATTCATCTGGCGCGAAGTTGAACACCAGATACACGACATATGTTGTTCTCTTTGACAACATTTGACTTGCAATCTTGCCACGGATATCAAGCCAACAAAAACCCCGGAAATAAGCAATTTCTGAGAATCTGCAAAAAAAAAAAAAAAAAAAAAAAAAAAAAAAAAAAAAAAAAAAAAAAAAAAAAAAAAAAAAAAAAAAAAAAAAAAAATCTCAATATTTATAAATTCATATATGCAGCTCATTTACAAGTTAAGAATACATGGATTGTTAATGAGAATCTGCAAAATTTCCAAGAATTTTCTGATCTTCTGCAAAGAGATTCTTATGGTCATTCTGCTTTCGCAACCGATACTGATAGATAAGGCAACTGGCTCTTTTGAGCATGAACTCAACTTGCAGAAATGCAAGGTATACACCTTTGTGGTCCGGCCCTTTCCTGGACCTCGCCCATAACGAGAGCTTAGTACCCTGGACTGCCCTTTTATTAAAGTTTGAACTCATAATTTCAAAAAGTACAATGAGTTTACTACTAAGAACATTAAAGATTAAGCCCGTCATGGTTAAATCTTGGATTCACCTATATATAATAATAATAGAATTTTATTTCAACATATGCAAAGCTCAACAAGGAATGTTACAGAATTTTATTTCTGCTCATGATTGCAAATCCATTTTCTTGGAAGCAAATGAGTGCTATTCTGTCTTAAAAGAGTCCTTTTTTGTCTATCTAATTAACTAATTCCTTCTAAAAAGTAAATTCATAACAAACAACAACATACCATGTGTGATTCCACAAATGGGGTCTAGGGAGGGTGGGTAAGTGACGAAGCATAAAAATTTACCCAACATGTTTAAATTTGAAAGAAGTAAAAACTTCTCAACAAAAGGGTGTTCAACATTTGTTATACCTAATATTTTACTTATATATACAGTTTAATTTTTCGACGGAGGTGATCAATTTTAAGACATGTAGCTTAGCCCCTGGGTGAGGTATACACAGACCTTATCCCTATCTTGTATGAGGTAGAGAGACTGTTTTCAATAGACAAAGAACTAGGGGGCATTCCGAGAATTGAACTCGGGACATCAAAAAGTAAATTCGTCAATAGAGAAAATAGAAAACCTGGATTCGGGGTAATATGAGAGTCCCCAATATTGTGGTGTATGCTCCCATGAAAAAGCAATTTCCTTTGGTGCCACCATAATACATTTCTTCCCAGTTTTCTTATCAAGTGAAAAGCTCTATTCAAGATATGAAATCACATATACAAAATGCATCAGAGGAAAAAAAAAACATGTTATTCACAGCATTCTATTATTCAATACAATTTTCACAACTTTCAGGAATTCAAATATTTGATTATTCAAATCTTAAACTTTAAATGGGATGAACTCTAGAACTCAATGTTTTGATATTACTTTGATAATGTTTCCACTATCACTAATACAATACATAAGTCACTTTAATTATTGAAAGTTCATTGTGCAGTCAAAAACTGTCATATAAAATGGGACAGATGGAGTATCATTCACAAGCCACAACTAAAATGAAGAAAATTAAAAAGCATAAATTGCACTTTTGGTCCTTACTCCTTAGATATTATGGAAACACAACAGTGGTCCATCTAATTACACAATTAAGCTAAAAATCATATATATCGTCACTAACTAAAAATAAGAAATCAAAACCAAAATTTATCTTTTTCTCAGGTCATCAAGTTCTTCTTTGATCTGCCGCTGTTAGAACACCACAATATTCGTCTTTTTGGGGTTAATGTTCTCAATGGTGAATCGATCATTCGATATCCTTTTCCTTCTGCGACGGAATGGAAGAAAAGTAATGAAACCTGCGATGGCTACTGAATAACCTCCTTTTACTTTCTCAATAATAAAGCCTTTGACCTTTGTATTCGTTCGCCAAATCTTGTTCAGTTCCATCCAAGCTCGGTTTTGTCTGAATCTTCGTGGAAGAAGTCTACATCAGAAAGGAAATAATCTTGATTTGTATCGTCAGCTATTAAATAATATTTGTGTCAAATATGAGAGACAATAAACAAGAAGAATCTACATCAAGTGTCAACAATACGTCATCATTGGCATCTTCGCTTATGACAAGAATTGTGTCAAATGCGAAATTTGCGGTAGAAATTTTTGACTGGTCCGGGCATTTTGGGATGTGGCAAGGTGAGGTTCTAGATGTCCTTTTTCAACAAGGGCTAGATCTTGTCATTGAAGAAAAGAGACTAGATGTTATTGGAGAAGAAGATTGGAAAATTATCAACCGTGTTGTTTGCGGTACCATTCGATC